GTCGAAAAGTTTTACATTTTTCGAAAATATTTCTATTGCGTTATTATTGAATGTGATTGCGAAACGAAACGTTTTCATAATTAAAATATTTTAATGATTGTTAAGTAATACCATTGATTAAACATAATATTAATATATTCAATTTAATCAATGGATATTATAATACAGAGGAAAATAAAACGAAAACCCGTACTATAGAATACGGAAAATATTTAAAATAATTGATATGCTTATAATATGTTATTAAATTTTTTACCGTAAGAAATAACTATTTATAGAATTCATTGTTTAAATCATTTAAGTCAAAACACAGCACATAGATAGCCTGGCATTGAATGGTTCTAGTTTGATTTATATTAAATTTTAATAAAAACATATCACCATGGGTTGTTGACCGAAAGTTGTGTTGAGTAGGAAATCAATCAATTAAAAGAGCACATTATTTAATCATTATTTGTTCATAAAATCATAATTCAATGTATTTAAACGCACAACGTAACAAAAACGATTAGAAATAATTTCCTTAACATCTGGACCACAAAAAAATGATGAATCGGTTTTGTATTATGCAGTTCTAGAAAAAAAAAATAGCTTCCTCGACGTCATCCTCACAGGGCCGCACTGCAGCCAATCTAATAGCATTTTTAAAATTTATTTAGGTAAATCAATATCATTGGTTCTAATTATAGGTACATGTTATAATCGATGTTAATTCACTGTAAATCTGTTCATTTCACACAACACCTTATACCTATTTTGACCTTATGTAAATGCAACTAATACATTTTTTTTTTTTCATATTTTAATCGCAACCGAAATTATTAGTATTAGGTGTTTTAGACAATTATAGTGTATAATCAGAACAACATTTGAATACGTTCGAAAACTATTTTTTTATTTTAAATATTTTAAAGACTGGGAGAGTAATTTTTGTTGTTCTAATGAGACAGATTTTTTATTTAACGTTAAGTATACACTCTCCTAGTGTATAAAATATAATGATATTGGTCGTCTTGACCCATAAACGACAAGTAGCAAAATAATTCAACTTCCGCTACACCATTAGTTGATGAAAATAAACTTTGGAATTTTCGACTGATACTTCTATCTAAATTTCTTGGTTTTCTGTCTCCGTTGAGCAAATAGCAATAACGGTAATGAATTAAATTGTAAATCGTCATTGAATAACATAGAATTATTTATAAACGTAAAATTAAATACAACGCTCCGTCAAACTGTTCTCAGTGAAATAAAAATAGTTCATATTTATTTTGCGTTATTTTTTTATGTTCGTAAAACATTCAAACGTATTTCTTTTTATATATATATTACATGGGAACGTTTTTGGGTTCCTGTGGACTTTTATATTTTTGGCACTATTTCTGATATTGTATGGCCACATTTATGTCCAGTAAAATATATTTATGATGACAGAGGATTTTTTTCTGGAATTACGGTTTCTTATATTTTGTACTATATCTCTTCGTTCCCATTTAACGGATACCTTTTTATCTGAATTTCTCCGGCTTTATTTTTGGACGAATAGCACATGGAGTTTATAGGTAGGTTGGAAAATATTGTAAAAATTAATTCAATTCGAGGAACAAAACAAAACATGTATTATTATTGGTACAGATAATATTATTAGTATAGGGTTGGTGTCGAACGAGTATTTTTCATATTATGTGTTTGACGCTGCTTTTTGTTCCGTTTTTATTAATTGATAAAAATTAAAAATGCATATAAAAATAACAATTTTTCGGTCAACTCGTCACTTTTGCCTTGTCCATAGTTTCAACAGAAGACGTGTGTTCAAAACTTCAAAGTGTTCAAACATTGCAATATACTGAACAATAACACTCAATTCCACCATTTCCGGTTCACAAAGCCCACGCAAACAGGGTGACGATCAGATATAATATATAATATTACATTGAAACGCGATAAACACTCGAAAAGTGCCTAATTTGAGTTTATAGTGTTCGAAAAATAATAACGAGTATAATACGGTGGCATATGTCAAATGAATATATAGGTTCTTTCCGTTCCAAACAGTTTTTTATACACTTTGCTAAATGTTTACTCAAGTTTTTCTTCGACCGTACAGCTGGCGACCGGACATTTCGGTGACATTAGCAAGTACCTCTTTTTTATTATTATTATCTCGCTGGTCTAGAGTTTTTTTTTATTTTATTTTTGTTTTGTTTTTTTGTTCTGGCACCCTCCTACGAGAGCTGTGGGAACAATGCCCAATTTCTAAGTGAGTGCGCAAGTATACTGCAAGTTATACTATTATACTGCAATTCTTAAGTGGAAAAAAACGTCAATAAAACATCACCAGACATGTGCAATGGTTTCAATTTAAAAAGAAAAAAGACAAATTCTGCTCAGAAAAATTGTTAGGTTAGCTTGTAGTTAAAACCTCTTCTTTTATTCCATATTTTACTGTCAGATATTATACATATAATAATAATATGTGTTACTATTGCATATTATGCAATTCAACAATCGATTAAACGTTAAATAAATATTATTTAATCAGTTTTAAAATTTGTTTTATGTTTGGACATTTATCAGTCTTAATAGAACATTTCCAGATCGAGTTTATAGTTGGGGAAATATAAATTACGTTCAATTTCCACCTGGTGATGTACAATAATAAAACAATATGTATATCAATATTATTATAGTAAGACATTGACTCTTAAGGAATTTTTTTCAATCATTTAAGACACTATAACATTTTTGCGACCGCGTGACACTAATTTGTTACATAATAATACAGGTACGAATATAACTACAACACCAGTAGTAGATCTAAGAATATTGGCGTTGGATTATTTTTTAAGAATTAGCTTACACTCAGCTACTCTAAAAGTGAAGAAGAGGTGAAAATATCTTAACTAATGAATAACATAACATAATAATATGATATTAATGCACATTGTTTAAACTTGTAACAATCTGATGCGTTCAAACCACAACGTTGTTACTTCTTTACGACCGGAGCAACAGTTATATTATTGGCAATATTAAAGAAATCGAGAAAAAAATGCATTATACATATATAATTATTTTATTCAGATCAAAAATGCACATAATAGTGCATAATGAAACAATAGACAAACTGACAAATTTAGAAATCATCTCACCTGATTCACATTTTCTGTGCATTTCCAATGTCTGACTTAAGAAAACATATCAAACAAGATTTAAAACCTCTTGTTCTTGATTCTCATGCAACGAATTTGGAACAATCAATCAACTAAATTAGACCGAATTAAGTAGCCAACGACAAGATGGAAGAGAAACACAAGTATTAACATCTCAATTAACGAAAAAATGGATCGTACCAGATTGACTTATGGTTTTCTGTTGACAAAATGTGACCCCCCTGAATATCATACTGTCGGAATCACCCTAACAATCAAACACATCTTTAACGAATGTAGACACAGCTTGAGACTATTAAATTAGGTATCCATCTAACAAATTATGATCTTGAACGTTAATTTTTTTGACCATTGTTCAAATAATTATCTTTTAATATCCCCCCCCCTTAAAAGTTATAAGTGATGAATATAATAAGCGACTTCTTTCTCGTTTAATTAACATTCAACCCTACTCCCATAACATACGCTAGTACTGAACATTTTATGTTGCATAGTTCGTGTATCATGTATGAAAAATATTATAATAATATAATCAAAAACGAAATATTCGTAATTGATTTAAAAATAATATAACTTTGTCATAAAATATTGTATTTTTATGTATATATTAATGTTATGACAATTGTTAAAAAATATAACTAAAAAAAAGTTAAGACTACGGAATTGTTTAAGGGTAATTGCATTGCGCTGCGCAATATAATAATTTAAAAATAACATCATATTTAAAATAAATAGGTACTACATCTAAGACAATATATCACAGACAAAATAGTGTGCAATCACTGTTGTTGAAAATGTAAAAAAAAAAATCATGGTAAATTACAGTTTATAAAAATGTAGTTTAATATTTGTTATAATAAACTATTATGTGTTAATTACCGTGCCAAAATACAATAGCACATTTAAATTCCCTGTATTAAGCAGATAATATAATATGATATTATTGAAATAATATGCATATAGGCCACTCGCTAGGCAAAACATAGAATCTCCATTACAATTTCTATGAACCCAACAATATTCCATATTTTATGCAAATGAACTATAAATCAGAACGAATGCTTGTATTTGTTTATCATTAGTGCTCATCACTTATTACTTTTCATCATATTGATGTTAATAATGTAATTAGTTTATAATACGAATAAGTAATTCCAATGGAAAATAACAATACGACCTCGTTTTGCAATATTATGTAACATACTTTGTTAGAAAATACACAGGTATTTACAATTATCAGGCTCGGTTTAAAATGTGATGTATAACATAAGTTTAGCAATTATTTTATTATAATATTATAGGACATTATATTTATGATCTTTTATGCAATCAATATCAACCGATTAATAAGAAAGGTATATTATTTACGAATTTAAAAACAAGAAAATAAATATGTTTTTATTGTTACATAAGTGGGCATCTAAAGTTAAATAATATGTGGAAATAATATTAATTAATTAGAGCGACGTAAGATAATATATTATAATATTATATTATTGAGTATTATTTCCTAAAGCTGGGATTTTCGCTATGTTAATTATTCACAATTGTTCAGTAGATACCAGATAACAATATCAAATACCGAACGATATTAATTAATATCCAAATTTAAATAGTTTTCTGTTCCGTGGCATATAATGTACATAATATAATATATATATATTGAACATATTATTTGAATTATTGGTTTGGCTTTTCCGATTGATTATCTTATTGATACGACGTCATACCGACTCTTTCATTAACAGTTACTGTTGTTTAACGAAGTTTATCGTAGTTTATTCACTTTGACATTTTATGTAAATAATACGGTTCGTAAATACATACTGTATTTGATCCATTTAAGGTCGGTTGGTTTCTGGTAGCTCTACTGGATTTGCTGTTTTTCCTCTTAGGGCTTTGGGTGCCGCCGGAAGACGAACCACTGGCCATTAGAACGAAACGAATTTAAAAAACAAAACAAAAAATGTCATCAACACCGTTCAAAATCGACTGAAATCAATTCGTGTGCGACTGAAACGATAATATCATACTCGGCGGTCTTTCATTGTTTTACCGATCATTGATTAACGCGTTTGTTAGACAGTTAGTAATAATATTATATTAAACGAAGGAACACTGATCTTTAACGGACTTTAACGGACTTCACTGGGGCTTATTCACAGTTAATTCACTACAGTTCATCACTTTGACGCATCCATAATGTACTACTAGCTAGATATTATTAAATCGTGGACATTCACCCATCAATGTGTGTCGGATGCACATGTTTCCTTTGATCGATAACAACTTATAATGATTCTATTATTGTTAATTTTTTTTAAATTGTGTACGATGAGATAACAGACAATTTTTTCACACTAACGAGCTTGTTTTTATTATAATATTTACATAGGTAGTGCATACATTTATTATTTTTTTATCGATAATTTCATCCACACTAAAGATTTGTTCTACATAATGATTTTGTTCGACCTACAATACTAAAAATCTGGCGAAATCACCATATTTTATTTATTATGTTATTAGTATTTGGGCTCTGTAATTTAAATTATTCTATAATGGAGCGTATACATTGAGTGAATATTTACATTTAATATGAACTATATTTTTATTGGATACATAATACCTTCATGTGGTCTTTATGGTCTTGTACAACCAGAAATATCACCTGATAAATTATTAAGGCACCGACGTATTATTCTCACTATATTATCACTACTATTATTTACCCATAAATTTATTTTCACTGGGTACTTTTAATTACTCGTATATTTATTTTTATTATAAGAATGTAAAGTCTAAAGTACATTGTTCGCAACGATTTAAGAAGACCTATGCATTCGCAACAAATTTTCGTTCACTGGTTTCAATAGTGTGCTGTTAATTTTGATGTTAGAGTGAATCAACTTATTATCAAGCTAACTTTCATATCTTACTTCAAAATTTATTAAAAAAATCGTCGACGCTCAAACAGCAATAATGATCTTACCTAAAAGTTTTATAATAAGTCAATTCACTCTAAAATCAAAACAAACAGCAAACTATTGAAACTGGTAAATGAACATTTGCTATGTCTTTAGTTTGTTAGACGGAAACCACAAATGCACGGGCAGCATCCTCCTAAGTCAGAAAGACGAATAGTAGATTTAATAAATGATTGAAAAAAAACAATTAGATTTTCCAATAAGTTTACTGCATACTAAAAACAGTTTCTTTAATGTTGTTTTTTTATTAAATTGCAATGTATTTGAATTTATTATGGACCGTTGAAATTTTTGAAAATTACTTGCTGGATAAAATTGACGATTTTAATTGTTGTATTCGTGGCAAAACTAAAATCATTTAGAAATTTGCATGATAAATTGTCTTGATGAATAATACAATGGAAATTGGTTAATTTTGGTTTTTCAATTTCATTTTTAATAAGATAAACAAGACCAGAATTTAACCATTGAAGGTCAACCGTCTGTACATAATATGGAAATTACATTTTGCCAATCTATTTTTTTTTTTTTTTTAAATGTAGAAATTGTTTCAAAATAATCCACACCACGAGTTTGGTTTTTCATCGGTATGACTTTCAAAAAGTCTTCTTTAATAATATTATCTTTTGAAGAAAATCTAACAGAAAGTATTAACTTACATCTACGTTTTCATTTTATTCACTGTTTGTAGAATTTTGGATTTTAGAATGTACAATTTAACTTTATTGTGCGAGCCGCACTAAATTTGATAAAAGGCTACTTAGTGGGGACCGTTGACCTATAAGAATTAAGATTTAAGGGTGCCTGTGTAAAGTAAAATTATTCATTTTTTTTAAATATATTTTATAAGTATATGGGAAATATAAGTTTTAGTAACTTTCATAGTAACAATTGTCTATGTTTACAATATTGTACTAAAAAATCAAAATTTTAAATTAAAATAAAGCATTATAAATACTACAAACTATTAATTTAATATAAAAGTTTTCTATTATATTATAGTTATAATATTCATGCATAAATAATTTAGTGTAAAGTAAAAAAAATGCAAAAGAATTTTATTAGGAGTTAAATTGACTTGAACTTTATAAGAATTTATTAAATTCGAATAGTATATATTTTCTAATAAAAGAACTATTTTAAAGATTCTTCCTGATTGAACTCTACAAATTGGTATTTTCCAAGGTATTTGCCCATGAGAAATACTTTAGTATAATATATATATTTTAATTTGTATTACTGCTAATTGTTAGGTCACCGGAACTTTACTTTACTCAATAAAAAATATTGGTACCAATCTAAAATAAGAAAATATTATACGTCACTATACTTCGATATTTATTTTTAACGAAACACAACCTATTGAAATGTGCTATGGCTAACTCGTTATTATTTTTTATATTTACATATAGAAGTGTGTGGATCTAAGACATTCTAAGTACATATTTTTAAAACATTATAAAAAAAATTAACCAATATATTATTGTTAATTTATTTAAAATGCAATTACGTAAAATTTATAAGTACCTACCTACTTAGTTTTCAGAATTAGGTATACCTCTATCAAATTCGTATTGAATATAAATTAGAAAACCAACATCTATTATTTTATGTGTAATAGTTGTGAGTATAACAAAAAACCAAAACCCCAAAATATACAATTAAATAGATAATAATATTGATTGTACTCACATAATTTTCAGTCTTAACCTCCTTTTAAGCACTTAGAAAAATCACTTTAAATTTGTTTCAATAAACTATTACCGTTTGAAACGCAATGTTTGAAGTCTAACTCGGTATTAATTTTGTCTTATACAATTAAACTTATTTGAACACACAATTATCATATTTTATCATAAATCAGTGTTATCTTAAAGTTATAAATATATCTGAAATGTCCACAGTCAAAATTAATTAATCGTTTTTAATATTTTCACATACCTATATCTACTTCTGAACATACAATTATTTATTTAAAATATGAAACGTGATAAAATATGAAAATGTCCTCCAACTCGATTTGTTATAAAATATAAAGGATTTAAGGAAATTAATTTATTTTGAGTAGGGAAGTAGGCACCATTTACTTAGTAGCTAGGTATTCTATATTAATTGGAATTATTATATAAAATGCGGTTAATTATTTTATGTTATAAATAATATTATATATAATCAATAAATTACCCAGTAACATTTTATCTACAATGCCTTCAAATAACATATCATTATAACTTATATTAGTGTGCCTCACTTATTAAAATGTGATTCATATAAAATAAATAAAGATATTCTCAATATTATATAGATTATTTACAATATGCGCAAAGGTGAACACTTTAATTAATTATAATGATATAATAATAAATATAGAAAAAAAAAATACAACATTCCAACTTTGATTCGGATGATGGTGGAATTATTAACGTCTGAACATGCTTTAAATGCAAGCATCTATGCATACTTTCCGAGACACAAAATTAAAATATCACCCCACGGTAAAAATATGCAGTGAAACAAACGATTACATTTTTGATCATTCCTTTTGCACATTAATATTATTGTTTCAAACACATTGAAAAATGTGTACTGTTTTTGTGTTTATTTCGTCGTGTAGTTTTGGATAATATTTTAAGTGCCTGTACCACGTGCGAATGAAATAAGTAAGATCACATACTGTTGCAGGGTACCTATATTAAATTTCAAATTTACTATTTACAGGTTGTCAAGTACACCCATCATACGGGGTTTTCACTCTGTAGTCATATAATATTATGTAAATATCATATTATGATTCATTTTCATAATATTGTGAAATTAGAACACGCTATTATGCAGGTGGAGATTGAGTTTACCGGTATACTATATGGTGTGCAAACACCAATTATACATTGGAACAGTGAAAATGATTATTTTACTTAATAAAAATTGTATACAATGTATTGCGATATTTATCTCGGATGAGTATTAATTCTGAATGTGATTAGCACTTATCAGACCATCCACTGCAATCCGCAATATGCACGATTGCCTATTTTATATAGTTTATATAATATCATAATTAATGATCACAATATTAATATAGTGTTTACCGTACAACAATCTATCATATTATATTATTGACACCGCAATATCACATCACATAGTTTTGTTTCAGCAGTTTTCATCTTCAATAAATGTCATTATTTAATCACCGCTATATACCCGTCGATTGGATCGAAACTTATAAATATTTTATACTTATCGGTTTTAACATTTAAGACACTCCACAGAGCAGACATGTGTCTTAGATTCCGAAAAAATAAATCAAAGCAATACCTTACAAAATATTTGAGAAACAGTACAAACAAAGTTAGGTAATGAAAAACAGGAATATTAAATCATGGTTTCTGATAAAAATCGAGTATTATCGATCTTATTGCGATTCAACATGTTTCAAATGTATGTTGGTAAGACATTGTTTTAAGTCAAAAAGCTCGGACATTTATGCGAGGTTTCGCGTAAATTATTGATACGATGAAAAGAAATTAAAAATTTGTCAAAACTATATTTTATAGTCACAAAATATATTTATAATCGTTTAAAATTTTGTGCAAATATAAGCAAATTATTTTGTGGTTAAAAATTCTTACTGTTTTATAATTTTTATAGCCAAGACTTAAATATTTTTAAAATTCTTAAGTTTCTTAATAAGTATTTTGTACAGTACTTACTATCCTATTAATATCAAACCATCTACTGCTACAATCAACCTATTCACATTTAAAATGTCCAACATCGACCATATAATATAAAATACTGGTATAAATAATTATGTAATCGACTAACAAATTTTTAAGCCATAACAGTGATTTTTTTTCTGTATTCTCAAATGGCCGTAGCTGCCACGGATAAACTTTTAATAATAAAAAAAAAATGTAAATAATATATAATATAATAAATACGTCATAATATGGGAACAATTTTTTTTATAAACGTTTGAAGCAATAATTTTGACAGAATTAAAGAAATTACGAAAAATTACAATTTTTCTTCAAAGGATTTTAGGTGTTATGTTGTAGTTCAAAAAAATAAATAAGTCTTAAGGACTTAAAATGTTTTACCACAAGGAATATTATGAATATCTAGAAACTATATACAGTGACAAAATAATTTAAATGGTTTTCAGCTATTTATTGACATTTTAATATAGAAATATTTATTCAAAATGTGATAAATTGACAAACTCTATTGTTTTAATTTTTAATTAGTACAATAATCTGTATGAGTAATCCTAATTCCTTATAAGTTATAATGTATTATTTATG